AGTTCACATTTATGTACAGGCCCCTATTCTCAAAATGAACGCTCACGCCCTCGTGTTTTCCGAGAAAGGATATGAAAAAGATTTTTTGGCTCACTAGCAATTTCGGGAACGGCGTAGGCTAGAAGACTGAAATTTTACGAAGATATTCTTTGCTCGGGTCCAGTCTGAAGATTTAAATTCAGTCTTCGCTTGTCTGTAGGTCTCAAAATACGTACATGTCAAAGATTAACTGTCATCGTGCCGACTCGAGTTAAGCTGGCCACAAAGTTGTGGAGAGCTGTAATTTCGCAGTGTTGCTTGTCAACCACTGATGTGCCCGTGGATGCAAATTGAACTTCCCAGCCTTTCTGCATCTCACTTGCGAGCATGTGAAATTTGACGCAGATGTGGCATCTGGCAAAACTTTGGAACAGTTACAAAACTTCGGAACTGAAACAACTACAGGGCTGAAACATTTAAACGTGGCCTGACGCGAAAATAACTTTCACGTTCCTTCCATGTCTCATGTACTTATTCCGTACGAACATTTGTAATTTGACGTAACTCAGCATCCGGAGCAACTGCGCTGCCGAAATTTTCATAAATTGTTCTTTTGAAAATTTGGGCAGAAAGTGTGTGGGCAGGACACACAAAAAACTCTCCCCATCCTTCTCACGTACGAACAGATGTAATCTGATGTAACTCAGCAACCAAAGCATCTGGAGTGCTGAATTTTCCCGAGTGTGGCCCAGGAACGAGTTTGGGCAGACGTGCATGAAAACAACATTAATATCCCTTTCACGCATGAACTTGTAAATTTGATGTGACTTCTCTACCGAGGGATCTAGAGTGTTGAATTTTTTAGAGCATGGATTGGGAGTTACTGTAGTAATTTCTGACAGTGTTGGTGGCCAGTCTCATTTCTTTTAGCTCGAAGCAACTGTTGAAAAAAACAGTGCCATTTGAGACAAAAGGCTGGGGGAGGGGGTGTGTAGTGTGTGTGTGTGTGTGTCTGTGTGTGTGTGTTCGTCTCTCCGGGCATTTCAACTCGCTAACCGCACAAGCTTTGAAACTGAAATTTTGTCAGTGTGTTTCCCAGCCAGGAACCACCCCAGGACCGCGGTTTCAGTCCCCAAGCACACCTCGGCACAGCGTACGAGCGTGTGAAGGTTTTGGTGAGAAAATCGCTAACTCGGGAACGAGAAAAGCTAGGAAGCTGAAACCTCGGGAGAATGTTCCCTACCCGTATATGACAAAAAGATTTCAAATTCAGCTGCCTAGGAGCTCCCGGGCTTACGTACAGGCACGTGAAAATTATGGCGGGAAAATTCATAACTCGAGAATGGGAAAAGCTAGAAATTCGAAACTTTGGAGGAATGTTCCATACATATGCACGATCAAAAGTTTTCAAACTCAGCTCGTTAGGACCGTCAACGACTCACGTGTGGGCACGTGAAGATTTTGGTGCAAG